GACAAAGTTTGAAAACTACCAATTTCTTTTAGTCACCCCTTTTTCAGTTGGGGAAACAGAGCACCCAAAGAGGAAGAATAAATTAACATCAGAGTCACAGTGGAAACCCAGGATTCTGATTCCCAGACTATTTCTCCTTTCACCAACCCGTGGTGCCCAAGGACATGCCCCTAAGAACTAGGAGTCAAACTGATACTTTGTCTTCAGACAGAGCCTCTCCTTCAGGGCTGCTGATTTTTGACTACTGTGCTCTGCTCCTCAGCAGTCAAATTAAAAAATGCCAGTCACACATTTTCTGTGCAAAATTAAAGAAAACCAAAGCATCAGCTCCAAAAGCAAATAGCTTTAATGCTGTTTAGCTGGTTGCCTTGTGGATTTAAAGTAGCAACAAAACAGTAGGAGTGAACAAACTCCAGGCTTATTAAATTAGACTCGAGTCGCTGCAGTTGTGAAGGGGTTTCAGTAACACATTGAACTAGTTGCACTGATGGGACTGTCCCCTTTCTGCCTGCCACAGGCTCACCCCACACAAGGGGTCCTGGGACCACCCCCTTCACCCACCTGCTGCTCACCTGCTGAGGACCTCTCTCTGTTCTTTTGGAAAGAGCTGGGTTCAAGAGAAAGGCAGCTTTCTCTTGATGGTTACAGCATGGGCTCTAAAGTCAGTCAGAGCTCAGCTCTGCAGATACTCGACCTTGGACTACAGAGAGTTAATCTCAGATGACATGTGCCCGTGAGTGAATGAATCTCCTCGTACCTCAATTCCTCATCGGTAAATGGGGAATGGGGTTGTGTGTGTGTTTGGGGCATGGGAAGTGATCAACATACTCAAAGTACATAAATTAGTCCCTGTACACAGTAGGGGCTCCATAAATGTTTGCCATGAGGGGCACACACCTCCACACTGAATCTCTTCCTTCTGGAAAGCTCAATTGGCCTTTTTGGGTCTTTGACTCTGAGGTCTTCCTATTTGGTCCATTGATAATATCAAGGAAGAGAAGACAACTGTGGACCAGCTGTTCTCAACCAGGGATAATTTTACTCCCCAGGGGACATTGGCAAAGTCTTGAGAAATTTTCAGTTATCACAAATTGGGGGGCTGGAACCTAAAGCATCCAGTGGGTAGAGCCAGGGATGTTACTAAACACCCCACAGAACAGCCCCCACTGCAAACAATAATCTGGACCAAAATGTCAATAGGGACAAGGTGGAGAACCCCTGCTCTAGATAATAACACTAAAAACAATTTGTACCGTTTTCGCTCACATTTTCTGAAAGCCTACCACATTCCAGGTATTGTGTTGGGCCCTTTCCATAGATTAAACTCATTTGAACTTTATAACCCTACGAGGTAAGAACTATCCCTCCTGTGTTAAAATTTCAACCAACTAGCTCAGGAACATGAAGAATATGAATGGATTTTACCCCCAGGCAGCCTGACTACCCAGAGGCTGGTTAACACTCTCTCCAAATCTGTCTCCTCATATACTGCTCCTATTACCCACTCAGGTTTCTTTATTGTTTCTGTTCAGACAGAAAAGCAAAGCTCTAAACCTGTGTGGATTTTTTTCTTTCCCTTAAGGTGTGGTGGGGCAGATTTTGCTGGAGAGAGCATTTTTAGTAGGTCTACCAGATGGCTCTGAACTCCATTGCTAAAGACCCTTGAAAGAAGTCACCTGAACTGACAAATACAACCCTTCTCTCTTAAATTAGGAAAAGCTAGCTAGATTGTGACATTATTTTTTAAAAGACCCGTTTTTCTTTGACAATCCCCCAAAGTCAATCTTGATGGGTATTTTAATGCTCTTCTATGTCTATCAAAAATGGGGTTCTACTCAGACCAAAACAAAACAATCCAAATGAAAAAACAGATAAGCAAAATATTCCAAAGTGTCCCAGCAAGTGGAAGACTCAGAGAAATACCTACTAAGCACCTACTAATTGCTGGGCATTAGGCATTGGGGATACAGCAGTCGCAAGGCTGCCCTCCAAGGCTGTAGATTGCATTGTGAGGAGTGCTGTTGCTACCTTTTCTTCACTGGGAAGCAGAATCAAAGTGGAAAGGAGAGACAATCCCTCATATCTGGAGCCATAAAATGAATAAAGACAGTAGTAAAAACATAACTGCAAAAACAACAACTAAAACTCATTGAGTCCTCACTTTGCAAGAGGCAGTGCTAGCTGCTCTTCATGTATTGGGTCATTTGATCCTCATGAATACTCTACGAGGCAGATGCAAACATTTTCCCCATTGTACACATGAGGAAAGTAAGGCACAAAAGGTGTGAAGTTGTTAAGTCTGGTGAGGTTATTCTGCAGGCTCAAGAAGTTAATCTTTATACTGACTTTAGTTAGTGTTGTGAAACCACTGGGGTGAATGACTGTGAATCCCTCTTCTTGTGATATTAACTTGGAATCTCATTATGTTTCCCATGGACTGAGTGAACTGCTGTGACTTCCAGCCTTAGTTGAGAGATGAGAAGTTACATGACTCTACCCCTTTGCCCTGGTGTGAGCTCCCATTGACTGCGGATGGATTTGGAGGAAGGAATGGAGCAGGGAGGATAAAGGAAAGTTTGGACAAAAGAAACTGTCCAGGGACAATGACCTGCGTAGATGACAATGCCAACCGCCACCTCAGTGTTTCTGATGGTGCAGCCTCGAAGCAGAAGGCTCTCACTGCCAAAGCCAGTCCTGGTCTGGTCAGGATGCTCCCTGAGGATGACAATTGGAAGACAGAGGGTGGTTTGGTGACCTCTCCATGCTGTCACTGGTCAGTGTTCCAGAACTAGAAGTGGTGAGTGAACGCTGTCCCTATCCTCCCTCTTTCTTGGAACAGTGATAGTAACTCGGAATCTAATCTCCTTCGTGTTCAAGTGCATCTCTTTATTGCTCCCAGGAGGCCCGTATTAGGCCTCAGGGCTAGCTGAACATCAGCACAGCCAGGTTAAGCAACTTTCCCCCTTCACCCCCTCCCCTTTCCCTTTTTTGCTCCAGGAACTGAGATTCCTCTCCTGGCAAACAGTGAACATTACTGTTATCATCAAGGGAATGTCTTGTGAGTTGTGTCTAGCAGGCTTTGGGCTGGAATGCTTTGTACTGAGACAGTGGCTAATCGGGAACCTATGATTTAAGCTACCAGATGTTATCGGACCACAAGGACTATGTCACCTTGCATACCACTGATTTCAGAATTGCCCATTACTCTGAACTCTCCCTAAAATTCTTATAACCCCCCTGCTTTCCTTAGCTTAGGGAAACTGTTCTGGTTCAGTCTCCCCTCCACATTAGTGGAATAAACCTTTTGGCTGAAATGGCTCCTGGGTCGGGTCTCTCCCTTTTCTTCTTCTCGCTGAACCTAACAGCTAAGTTGGGGGCTGAACAATTAGAATGGAATTGCCCACCTGGAGAAAATCACCATTTCCCTCCATAAAAGGCAGACCTCTGTGCTGGAAAAGCCTCAGCTTTAATTCTCACACTCCAAAATAGTTTTAGGGGCATGTGTGGGGAACTGGCTCCCGTGCAGTGACTGGAATGTGTTCCCTTTCTCAGTGTGCACAGGCTCATCCTCGCCCAGCTGCTGGGCCTGGACCTGCACAAGCTGAATATCCGTGTCCTAGAAGACACCAGATGGTCCTGCCTTTCATGCCCGTGAGACAGGTGAGGAAAGTAAGGTCAGGCAAGGAAGGGCAGGTCGTGTGGGCTTCTCTCCTCTTCTGAGTCACATCACTCGGCCTCTCTCCTGTACTATCCTGCACTTGCTCAGTCTTTCATAAAACAAGCAGATCTCACAGGAGGTGGACAGTGGCTCTTTGCCCAATTGACTGGGAGGCAGCTTCTTACAGCAGAGATAAAGTTCCTCTTTCCTGCAGCTTCAGGGAGCTCTGCAGTTTTCCACCTCATGCTGCAAACTTCTGAGTCCAATCAACTCCCGTTATTACCTGGGGTCTGGCCTTATTCTATCCTTTGGGATTTTCAGCAAGTTTAAATATAACCCTCCCAAAACACAGGGGAGAATAGAAAAAAATTATCCCAACCCTTAGAGCTTTTCTCTTTATAGTTCTTCAATACTTCATTCCTCTATGTCTGGCTATAAGTCTTTCCCACATGTTAACTCAAGCCTCATGACACCCTTATGAGATAGGTCATGTTATCATACCCACTGTATAGATAGGAAAACTGAGGCAAGTTCACAGAGTAGTAAGTGGTAGAGTGGGGTTTCAGACCTAGGAAGTCTGGCATCAGAGTGCTGTACTGACACTCAGTATGACTTTTATTGCTAGTAACTCCTCAGTGTGTTTATAAGCTACATTTACTTACATGATTTTATTTGACTCTTCATGGCTCTGGGAATTTAGCAGGGTGACTATCCTTACTCATGAAAAAGATGAAGCTCAGAGAAGCTGAGAGATTTTTCCAAGGCCACACACCTAGTACATGGGACATCCTAGACTCAGGAATCCAAGTCACAGATACCAACCTTATTGTGATTTTCACTACAGTAGGGTTCCCAAAGGACTACCCCATTAACTTACACTGAATCAGAGTCACTTACACTGAATCAGAGAGTCATTCCCATTTTCAATTCTGCTGAATTGATTAAGGAGAATGTCTCTGTTTTATGCTGTTATATTGTTAACTCTTTTCTAACACTTGTCTTACTTGTTAACACAGAGGAGGCATTGGCAACTAATAGTCTGTAGTTAGAATATAATGATAACTGTTTTGATTTCATTGCATTAATTTTTACTGTTACCTTCTATGTATAGCAAGCAATACTGGCTTCCCATAGGGCTAGTGATATAAATTTTGCTTTTGAAATAAATTTAAGAAAAAATAAAGCAAGTTAAAATTTGAGACATAACAAATACTCATAGACAACTCTGGACCCTATAAATATGTATAATCAATTATGTTTTAATTAAAAAAATAGCTATGAAAAGAATAAAATACCAAAAAATATTGGTACATAAAACTATAAATTTTTATGAATGATAAAAATCATAAAAGTGGAATGACAGAAGTTTAGAACCAAGAATGACAGAAGTTTAGGACCCACCACTCCTCCCTTTATGCTTTAGTGTGAATGTCCCCCCTAAAACTTACTGAAGCTTGACCCCCACGGTAACACTGTGTTTAGAGGGTGGGAAATTAGACTATGATATTTCAAAGTTGGGGCCTTTCAGAGGCATTGGATCATGAGGAGTCTGTCCTCATAAATGGATTAATCTATTCATGGAGTAATGGGTTAATGGATTAATGGGTTAGCAGGGAATAGACTGCAGGTTTTATAAAGAGAGCAAGTGATCACTTAAAGATGAGCTCTTGCCATGCTCACCATGTGATACCCTGGTGGCCTTGCGACTCTTGAGTTCCCACCAAGAAGAAGGCTCTCACCAGATGTGCCTCCTGGACTTAGGGCTTCCCAGCCTCCAAAACTGTAAGAAACAAATTCTGTTTCTTTATAAATTACCCAGTTTTAGGTAGTCTCTTATAAGTGACAGAAAATGGACTAATGCACTCTCTTTACCAAAGGGGCAGCTTCTCTGAATTGAATTTTGGACTAATGAATCTTGAATGTGTCATTGCCAGTAGATTGTGGTTTAAAAAACATTTTTATGATGCTCTGAGGTGATAACAGATGAAAGAGGCTTCACTTCTCCCAGTCGTAATGTTCCTTTTTCAGTGAAGGGTAGAAAAGGATTAGCTATCTCCTAGCTTCTGTTCTTTTTAGTGTTCTTTGTTTAAAGGGATGCTCTTTTTAACAGCATCCATCAACCATGGCACTATTAACATTTTGGGCTGGGCAATTCTTTGTTGTGGAGGCTGTCCTGTGCATTGTGGCATGTTTACCACCATCCTTGGTCTGCACCCACTAGATGCCAGCAGCACCCCTCCCAGTTATGACAATCAAAAATGTCTCCAGACATTGTCAAATGTTCCTTAGTTGGGACAGGGGAGGGATTGCCCCTGGTTGAGAATCACTGCTGTATAGAGACCCTTTTGTTTAAAAGTTGTATTTTCAAATTTGACATCCTTAATATTCAAAGAGATGATTAAAAGCAGTTCATCTTCTACCTGGCTTGTGCAGTCAAAGGACACTCCTAAATTAAGGTGACCCACAGATTCTGGGAGACCCAGCAAGCAGCATGAGACCAGTGAGTTTGCTCAGGAAGAGGGTGCAGACCACCTGCGGGTGGGCCTGAGGGCATTCTCTCTGCCGAGCATGACACGGATGCAGGACCACAGAGAAGGATTCTCAGTCATTCTATGGGCTGGTTACTGAGCTGACCAACTGAACTTTGAGGGCTTATCCATGAGACCCAGGCAGNGCACCCCTCCCAGTTATGACAATCAAAAATGTCTCCAGACATTGTCAAATGTTCCTTAGTTTGGACAGGGGAGGTATTGCCCCTGGTTGAGAATCACTGCTGTATAGAGACCCTTTTGTTTAAAAGTTGTATTTTCAAATTTGACATCCCTAATATTCAAAGAGATGATTAAAAGCTGTTCATCTTCTACCTGGCTTGTGCGGTCAAAGGACACTCCTAAATTAAGGTGACCCACAGATTCTGGGAGACCCAGCAAACAGCATGAGACCAGTGAGTTTGCTCAGGAAGAGGGTGCAGACCACCTGCGGGTGGGCCTGAAGGCATTCTCTCTGCCGAGCATGACACGGATGCAGGACCACAGAGAAGGATTCTCAGTCATTCCATGGGCTGGTTACTGAGCTGACCAACTGAACTTTGAGGGCTTATCCATGAGACCCAGGCAGGTAGGGGAAAGACAGGTCTCTAGGAGCAGCAACCAAAAATAGAAGGCACTGATTGAGTGGAACTGGGAAAGTTCTGTCCTAAAATCTGTCTAAGATAGGTGCGCAGGAGCCCAGGTTGAAAGCTGAGAAGGGCTGGCTGCTGGCAGAGCTGTTTTGGGGGAGGGGAAAGATCATGAGCAGAAACTAGCAAGGAGGCTGTTCTGTAAGAGGATAAGGAGAATGACTCAAGGCATGGGTGACTCGGGATGAACCAGATCCACAAGCCGCGGGCATGAGGGGTGTACTCCGTGCCAGGGCAGGTGAAAACTCGGCCTCGCCAGATGTGCAACCAAGTCCTCCTCTTCCCCAGGAGCTCATGTCCTTTTCTACCCATTTCCATCTGCTCTCTCTGTGCCTGTTAAAAGCAACTTGTCTTTAAAAGCTACTGCTTCTCTTGTATTGTTGTTTTTCTTTCTTCTTTGGTATTTCTTTTCAGGACATCTCCTATGGCCTGAGGAAATGTGAGTGGAGGGAAGCGTAGACATCTGCATCCCAAGCAGTCTTCTTGAGCCTTGTTCCAGGACCTGTGGGTAGAGCAGCTGGCATAGCCCGGCTGAGCTCCCTCATGCACGACAATGGAAAACGCACTGGGGATGGAGTCAAAAGACCCAAATGTAAGTCCTGGCTTTGTCTTGTACCTGCTGTGTGACTTCAGGTAAATCTTGAAAAGTCTTAGATCACCAGATTTTCCCTCTGAAAACAGAGGATCATGGTACTCCCTTCCTTGTTGTGGAGATCACACAAGATGATGTTTTGGAAAAGTACTCTAAAAACTGTTAAAGTGT